CACACACACACACACACACACACACACACACAAACACATAAAACGCACGCACGCACTCACGCAGAGGCAAACCAGTTAGCTGTAGGTAATTCCTCCAGCAGAAAACTCCGCCGCTTGAGGAATGGGCAGGGACGAAACCCAATCAGACGGTGTCGTTGGCAACAACCCTAAGGAGTTGAGTTTATAGAGACCCATCGCACAGCCTACAAGATTGAGGCTTATGAAAATCAACTTGGGTAGCACCAAATCTATTTTGTCATCCTTGAATTGATCGAACACTAGATTCATGTTGCGTAGCGCACTGATTGGTGACCAGATCGCCGAGAAGGTGATGGGCACACTAAATAGTGACACAGAGTTTCCCGCCATCCACATCATCAACCCCATCATAAAGATATTGCGCATAGGGGCTTGTGCTGCTTCTCGCGCCTTCCGCTCTTTCCAATTAGCGTCCATTTCTTTCTTCTGCCTGCTCACTGTCACCTCATCTTGTTCTGCTGCCCGTCGATCAAACCCCAAAGGATCATGAATACTCCTCGAAGTAGATGGATTTGCTTCCCCAAACTCTATGTTCCATCTTCGACTGCTCGTTCTTGACCCAGAAGAACTACCAGAAGCCATTGCCACTGGTAGACCCTTTCCTTCGGCCCTGCCCAAGACCGACCCCCGGCCCCCCCCCTCCCCCCCCAAAAGCCCTCTTCCTATTGTCCACCCCCACCTGCCCTACCCTACCCCAGCACTCTCTCTCTTCCTTACCCCCCCTTGAAGTCTTTGTTCTCAAATAATAGTTGCCCTTCCGCTTATGAACATACGACCGGATTCAATCCTCTACTATGTTTATTCCCGGTGACTCCCGCACAAAGACGAGAGAGCCACTTTGTGACATCGGCGTGCCAATGGAACAAAAACTCCCTCCTGCAGCATCCACTCAACAATCAACAAGCAAACAAAAACATGTAAGCCAGACGTACCAGCGGGGTTCATAATGAACATCTCAAATCTCTGGATATCTTTCTTACCGTAGCAGAGAAGCCATTCATACAGAACATGAAAACTTCAGGTCGAGGGAAGACGCCGGATTGGATTTTCTGACGCACCCCCAAGCAATTACAGCTCTCTCTCTCTCTCTCTCTCTCTCTCTCTCTCTCTCTCTCTCTCTCTCTCTCTCCCCCCTCTTTCCCCCTTCCCATCTCCCCTTCTCCCTCTTCAACCCTTCCCCC